TGCTGGCACACACACACTGAAATGCATTTGCTGCTCTTGTTGTTCTTGTTATTTTTTTGGGGGGCAGCCCAAACAATTAGCGTAATTTCAATTTTGTTAAAAATTTCATAAGCAGCCGCCGCTGTCTGTCTGTGACACACTCCAACGCACTCCAACACACACCCTGCACACCCCTCCCCCCCTCCCTCACTCACTCTCCCCTCTTCTACCTCTCCCCCCTACTTCCCCCTCCCCATATTCCCTACCCCCTAATCTTTCCACTATTCCCCCCCCTCTTTCCTCCTCCTCCCTCTCTCCTCTCTCCCCCTTCCTCCTCCTCCTTTTTCCCTTCCCCCCTTCCCTCCTTCCCTTCTTCCCTCCCCTCCCTTTCCCTCTCCTCTCCCCCTTTCTCTTTCCTTTTCTCTTCCCTCCTTCTCTTCATTCTTTCTTCCTCCCTTCCCTTCTCCCTCCCCCCCCCTCCTCTCTTCCTCCCCCCTACCTCTCCTTCTTTCCCCTCTTCCTCCCCCTCTTTTCTTTCTTTTTTTCCTTCCCTTTCTCTTCTCTTTTTTTTACTTTCATGTATGGGTCAGCGTCCTATACGTACTGATGAGTAGCACAGATGGACTGATCACAATATTTCCTCCTTGTCGGCCATGCTACGCGACCGTCCGATGGACCGCGCTTGTTACGAGACAATTTATAGCTATTCAGGTTTCGCCCGGTGAAACATAATAGAAGTACACACACAGTGAGAGGAGAGGGTTGGGGTGAAGATGGGGGAGGGGGATGCCACTGCAACGTGGCAATGGCAGACAGGTGGCAACAACACGTGCGTATAAGCTGTGTATCTCTGTTTCTGCTTAACAGCCCCAATCCAATCCCTGCACTTACAAAACTGACTGCTCGCTGCTCTGTGTACAAACAATAAAATCCAACTGGGATAAGCAACAGCAAAAAGCGACAACAGAACCGAAAATTGAAGAGAAACCCAACAGAGAGAGAGAGAGAGAGACAGAGAGAGAGATATATATAGATGGATGGAGAAGAGCAGCGAGGAGTGGAAGGGTTATGTGCTGCTTGTCAACATGACCAAAAGGCTTAGCAGCAGTTTTACACAGTCAGTGTGTGTGTGTGTGTGTGTGTGTGTATGTGTGTGCGTGAGACAAAAGCCAACAGTTGACAGCTGTGTGTGTGTGTGTGTGTGTGTTTTGGAGGATGCAGTCACTCGATTGGTTGGCAGGCAATTTGCCAACTTACTGCAAAGATCAGCAAAAATGTTTAAACCAGCCCCAAACCAAAAAGGGAGGCCGGCCATAACCAATAAAAGGAACAGAGAGAGAGAGAGAGAGAGACAGAGATAGAGAGATAGAGAGAGAGAAAGGGAAAGAGAAAAGCTAATTGCGCAGAGCTTTTAACCGTCGCGTTAATTGAATTGAATTGCAGCAGGTGATGGGCGATGCTGTTGTTAACACAACTAACGCTTTGTGGCCCACTGTCGCACAGTGGAGCAAAAACACATCTCAATATATAGCGTACAATTAAGATATACCAAATATCTATCGATAAATCGAGCAAAAGTAAGTCAGAGAGAGAGAGAGACAGCGAGAGAGAGAGAGAGACAGCGAGAGAGAGAGAGTGATTAGCTAATCGCATTAATCAAATCGATTAATCGATACACATATAATAAACGATACAACTGAATGGCACTTCATCGATAGCTTATCGATATACGATATATATCAATATGCATTGGAATGGGCTGAGGAGAGTCAAAGGTCAGCTATTATTTCGGAGCAGGCAATAAAGATGAAGGGCAACAAGAACAGGTAGGATAATAACAGGCCAGCCAAGTGGGTGGCAGGCTGGGGATGAAGATGAGGCAGGTGGCAGTTGGAAAGTGGCAAGTGGCAAGTGGCAGGCAGACGCGCTTGGGGGATTAATTGTAGCATTTAACAAATGTGACAGATTGACGATGACGACAACAATAACAACAACAACAGCAACAACAATAGCAGCAGCAACAACAATAGCAGCAGCAACAGCAACATGACTCCAATCGACTTCTGACAGACGTCTCTCTTTCTCTCTCTCTCTCCCACTCTCTCTCTCTCTCTCTTTGTGTGTGTTGCTTATTGCCATTTGCCTGTTGTTGTTTGTTTGTTTGTTTGTTTGTTTTCCTTTCTGTTTTTCACTCTGTTCCTTTTTGCATTGCCTTCTGTTGCTGGCAATTTATGAAATTCATTTTTTGCCTACGTTGTGATTATTTATTCAAAATGCAGGAGCAACTGCAGCAGGATGGATTGGTTGAAAAGCGGCAAGTGTGGAGTGTGTGTGGCATGTGGGGAGGCGGGAGGCGGACAGGGGGAGGCGGGAATCGCTGCTAAATAAATGAATAACACGATTTATGCATGACGAACATTTATAATTACATTTCGAAATAATTGAATTAAAATTGTTAACGCTTGATTGAAGCTTAATCGCAAAGGACAGACTGGTTGCGCTACCTGCAACAACAACAATAGCCGGGCAACAGTAATAACTTAATTAAATTAGCCGTTCAATACAACAACGACAACAAAAGTAAACAGCAAACTGACCGATTGAACATATCTATAAAAATGCATCTTCCTTTTTGCCCAGCCCCATTTCCGTATCAGAATCAACCAAATGTCACAACATTTTTTGACAAATTTGCCCCACGACAAATAAAAAGCCAATGGAGCGGGAGGTGGAGCGGGAGGGGAAGGGAAAGGGTTGGTTTGGGTGGTTTGTTAATCAACAAATAAAATCGATTAGCAGCAGCAGCAAAAGGTTGCAACAGCGGTAATTAAAAGCTAACCAAATGTCCGAATACCAAAGCCACACAAATAAAACCAAGCCAAACACACACACACAAACATATATATATATAAACATATATATATATATATATATACTATATATAGTATGATACACAGAGAAAAAGTGCAAATGGATATTTTTGGAGAAATTAGTAGAGAAACTGAGAATGATTTCAAGCAGCACACACACAATACACAAATGCTCTACAAAAATGGAAGAGAATATGAAAAATACTTGATCAAATATATATATATATATATATATATATATATAATATATACAATTGAAGCAAAAGTAAAAAGAGGCATTCCTTTTTAAAGGAAAAAGTTCAAATCTTTGATGCTTCTCTGCCAGCAGAAAAGCATTCCGATTTATGAGATAATATTGCGAGATTTGCCCAAGACTTTAGCAGAATATTATAATAATATATAGCATTATAATCGTACGATTTATTAATTGACGAAGGATTACTGCTTTTAAAAAGAGTATAACTGATTAGTAAGCTAATAGCTAATGTACATAAACAGAGGTAGATAAAGCGAATAAGTAGCCACACTCTCTCACACACACACACACACACACACACGTAGAGGCACACAAAGTCAACACACACACACACACACACACACACACACACATGAGGAGAGTCGTAAGTAAATATGTGCTGGTTATGCCCACAAATCAATTAAGTCGATTGAGGCGGCGCTTTTTGAGCCATAGACATGAACAGCAATTGAAATGGGCAGAAGGACGAGGGGCGGACGAGGGGCGAGGGGCAGCTGGGAGGGGGATTAAAGCAAAGCTAAAAGGCAAACGGATTTTGACCAGTTGGAAAATCTCGGACAACTCTATGCAACCGAACTCAAAGCAAAAGTTGCGCGGCTCACCAATTTCTCATTTCTCATTTCTTTTTCTATTTGAATATAATCATTAATTTTGTATATTTTTATTTATTTTTATTTTTTTGGTTTTTTGCTCAAAAGATCTACTAATATATTTGATCTACTAGCTGATATCTGATCTGCATAAGAGGGAAACTGTTTTTGCCAAGCAAATCAACTCAGAGGAATTGTTTGGTAAATTTTGAATTTTTGTTTCGTTTCAGTCGCTTCGCTATAGAAATAACTGAATAATTTATGGCATTGGCATTAAAAACGTTTGTTCAGCTCAAATATAGGCAACAATTTATTTCGAACTCATTATTATTTTTTTGTCAATCATTTTGTTGTATTCATTTCACAACTGGAACAAATACAATTTTTTGTTTGCACAAAAGTAGGCAACGAATTTCAATGAATACTTTTCAGTAGACCGTAATTAAATACAAATATATATATATATATATATATATATGTATTAAAGTGCACACTAATCGAAAATAATTAATTATATATTATTGTTTATTGATATATGCCATCAGCATTTTATGGCATTCGATAATTTGCAATTAATTTGCTGCAAAATGGCAATTAAATTGGGGGGCCAACCCTCTCCCTCTCCGTCTCCCTTACCCCTGCCACACCCTCTCTAAAACAAAGCAGGCGTGTTAATTTGGCTAAAAATGTGTAAAATATGCTTGCAACAACAGCAGCAGCAGCAGCAGGAGTATAACCAACAGCCAATTAAACAGACCAAACCGACAACAAACAAACGCAGGCAGGCAGCGAGCATCTCAATCAGAGCCGAAGCTGAGTGGCAGCCGAGGCAACAGCAACAGCAGCCCGAAGGACACACACAGCTGACACAGCCACAACTTTTGGACTGTATATATATATATGTGTGTGTGTGTGTGCGGCTGGCTGCTGTCTCGCTGCTGAGTGTCTGAGTGTGTTGGCTATAAAACGCGCCGTGCGCCACGAGGCATTCATCAGTTCGAATTTGTGTTGCACACGTGACGGATCCGCTGCACAGTTCTTCTGCCACACACACACACACACGTTACTTGACTCGCCCCGCTCGCGTTTCGTGTTGTTTGTTTTGTTTTTTCTTTATTTTTTTTTTTGTTGTGTTGTTGCCAATATTTGTTTTGAATGTTTACAAATTGGTTGACTGGTAGCAGTTGTAGCAGCAGCAGCAGCAGCACCACCAACAACAGCAACAGCAGCAGCCGCCTAACAACAGCAGCTGCAACACATGCAACAACAAATGCAGCAGCTGTTGGCTGCAGCAGCGGCAACAACATGGCCCTAGCTGTTGCTGGTGGCGGTATTAATGTTGGTGTTGGTGTTGGTGGTGTCATGTCCACACCACCGGATGTTATATTGGAAGACCTGGGTGCGCCGAGCAGCGTTCGGTTTGTGGCACATGCCCTAGTCCTGGGCATGCATAGCGGTTATTTGCGATCCGCCATACGCTTGGATGATGCAACCGCAGTGGCAGCAGCAGTCTCAACAACACCAGCAACAGTTGCTACTTCTGCTGCTGCTGCCGCAGCTGCTGCTGCTGCTGCTGTTGGTGGTGGTGAACTGCTGCTATATTTGAGCAATGTGACCGCTGAGCAATTTGCACCGCTGTTGACATACATGTACACCGGCTACTTGGATCTGAATGTGGATAACATATTTGCCGTGCTGCTGGCAACGCATGTGCTGCACATGCCACGCGCCTTGGAAATTTGTCGGTAAATCAGCTGCAGCAATTCAAGTTCTCTGTGTGTGTGTGTGTGTGTGTTGCAAATGAACGTTTTTCTTTTGTTTTTTGTTTTTTTTTTTGTGTTTTTGTTTCTCTATTCTCAGCTCGTTTCTGGCGCGCGCTCAAACCGAGGGCTATTTGAGCGGCAGCGCGAGCAATCCACATCAGTTGCAGCTGGCGGCCAGTGGCGCCTCAAAAATTATACGACCCATACCGAGTAAGGCAACGTTGCCCAATTTTGGCTTTCTGCCAGCGCCGCCGCCAACAATTGCTACTGCTGCCGCCTATGTGCAACAGCCAGTCGAAACAGTGGCAACAGCAGCAGCAGCAGCAGCAACAGTGCTGGATCAATTGCCCGTGGAGCAGCACCAGCAGCAGCATCTGGAGGATGAGGAGGATGTGGAGGTGTTCATAGACAGCAATACCGCCACAGACAATGAACTGGAACTGGAGCTGGACACGGAGGATTGCAACGTGTCTGTGGTAAGCAGTCTCGCCAGCAGCAGCGCAGCGAGCAGCTTGAATATTGAGCGTGTTGAGAGTAACAAAATGCAACTGACGCCGCCAGCAAGTGTGGTTGCTCCCACAGCAGCAGCTGCAACAACGACAGTTGTTGGCTCAGCCAAGCAGCAGCGACGCAGCAACAGCAATAGTCAACGCAAATGCTTAACAAACAAACGCAACAATAGCACACGAGCAACAGTTGCTAGTGCGGCCAAGGCGCCACCGCCTGCTGCACAACTGGAGACGGCAACACAGCCATCCAAGTTCATCATCGATGTGGCAAGTTGCGATGGACCTGTACGCTTTCGACGCATACTCAATACCGCTTACGGACACAAGCCCGACACATTTGATCCCAGCAATGGGGGTGTTGGCGGCGGCGGCAGCAGCAGCGGAGGCGTGGCCGAGTTGCAGCGAACGCAGCAAAGTGTTAGCTATTCGTTTCATCAGCAGATGGCACGGGCAATCAGCAGCCAGCAACGACAGCAGCAGCAAGTTGAGAATGAGAACAGTGGCCAGACAACAGCAGCAACAACAAATACAGCAACAGCAACGCCAACAGCAACAGCAACAGCAACACATCATCGCAAGCAACAACATGGAGAGCTGTTTGTGTGCGTTTATTGCAAGCACACTTTCAAATCACAATATTGCTATCAGAAGCACGCAAAGCGTCATTTGAATCCACTCAGTTTGGATAAGAAGCTGGCGGAGACACCAACAAGCCGAGACAACAACAGCAGCAGCAGCAGCAGCATCAACAATACAAATGAATTGCTGGCAGCAGCAGCAGCAGCAACAGCAACAACTGCAACCGCATCAGCATCAGCAACAGCAAATGTAACAGCTGCAACGGCAACAACAACTGTTGCTGCGGATACGAGCCTAGCTGCAGCAGCAGCAGCATTAATGCGACGCGAGGTGCGTCCTTTGGACATGAATGTCCAATATTATCCATGCAAGACGTGTGGCAGCAAGTTCCCCAGCTACTATTTTGTGCACAAGCATCGCAAGCTGTGCCATGCCGATGAATTGGAGGCAAGCAACAATAACAATTCGACAAGCAGCAGCAGCAGCAACAGCAGCAGCAATGTGGCCAAGCGTGAGGCCACAGCAACTGTGGCAGTTGCAACTGCAACGGATGCTTTGGAGATAGCGCCCTAAAATATATATATATATACATATATGCAACGATAACGATAACGATAACGATAACAATCTCAACGAGTAATCGAACAATGATCGAATTTAGCACGCAATTAAAAGCACGCACACACAACACACACACAACACACACACAACACACGCACAACACATGCACGCAACTAATTCCCACATAAGCACTGATAATTTTTTTTTTTAATGAATAAATGTTAATTGTAAAAACAATAACAAAATTGAAGAACTTATTGTGAGGTGTATTGTGTATCAGAAATGCCAGTCAATATCGATGAGCATTGATCGAATTGGAATTGCTATCGATAAGCATTGATCGAATTGGAATTGCTATCGATAAGCATTGATCGAATTGGAATTGCTATCGAAAATGCTCATCTTTTATTATTGTGCTTTAATATTATTATCTAAAACTGCAATAATACTGCGCTAGTTGCCTTTCGATAAGTACTTTAATTATTTGATCAATATATCGATTATCGATCTGCAAGTGATGTGACAAGTTGATATTACTGATGTCAAATATATACTATTGATTGCAAACAATATACACAACTCAATGCAAAAGAAGTTCTAAATTAACAACAACAAAAATTACTTCGATTTATATCGATAACAACAAATATACAAATATTTGTAAAATGCTGACTTTGCAGCATTCAAGAATAATATATATCGATAGATGAAGAACAAAGAAGATTATCCAGTTGCTCTGCTCTAAACAAGTTTAGGCAGTTTAAACACTTCAAGGTTATCGATAAAACATATCGAAAGTAGAAGTATGAATATTTGAAAGCAGTCCCTTTTGCTGGTAATTCCAACCCCTACCACCCACCACCCACCCACCCTACCCATCCATCACTTTTGCGGACGCTCTTGCTTGCTCTGCGGGGTATATCTGGGGTGGTTGGGGTGAGGGGGAAGGTGCGCGTCGGTTTTTTAAATGCAAACAGAAACGATGGGGCAATTTAATAATTAAATTAAATCACTTGCATAATAAAAAAGACATTTTCAAAAATTTTAATTTAATTGAGTTTAATTAACTCGCCAGGGAGATGACAGCGCCAACAAACCAAAACATTGGCCACAAGTTAAAAAGAGACAGCAATAGAGAGAGTTGGACAGGGTAAGGGGATGGTAAGGGGATGGGAAGGGAGGGGAGTGTTGGAGATGCAAACAAACCGCAGCCCGCTGAGCTGAATGACAGACAGACAAGGCTAGCAAGCCAGGCAGGCAGGCAGGCACCACCACCAGTCCAACCATCATCTAGGGAGGCCAAAACGCGGCACGCACCAATCAAGCGTCCAATATGGCAACTGCCACAATCTCGCAATGTTTTTAACACTTTTTTCTGTGGGGAACAGAGCCGGAAGATGCCAATATGCAAGGATACAAAGAAGGGGCTTAAAAGGAGCAGCGGGGGAATTGAATTTATTAAATGGAACAAATTGCCATTGAAAAACGGAAAATGCATTTTTTTATAAACGCAAAAAATAACTTAAGAAAACAAAACCAAAACAAAGAAGAAGAAAAAAAAAAAACGCACGTTAAACTTTGAAAAAACAGGCTGCGCCAGCAAACGCATCAAAAGTTGAAAAGAGCTTTTAAGCTGGACTAAATTAGAGTTGATAGTCAGCAAGCTTTTGCTGGAGTGCTTTTGTCAAAGCTCGCCTCAGCCAGCTGCGGGAATCAGGCACAAAAGCTTTTAAGCACTGCACAAAAGCCTTGCTAGGCGAATTCTGATGAGCATGCGCAGCCAACAAAAGCTCGGAGTTGGTTTGAAGCACGATAAAAGTTTAAAGAAAAGAAAATAAAAAACTTTGCAGCTTTCAAAGCTGTATTCTATTATTATTGCTATTGGGATTGGAGACCAGATCTATTGTGCCCCTTATCTGAGCCTTTATAGCTCCTTCCATCAATCAATCACAGCTGCTGAACGAAGGCAAAAATTGGTGTCTAAGTCTTCTGTGCTGAGGATACCAAATATTTTCCTAGCTAAAGCGACACATCCTAGCAGATTCAAAGCATTTTGAGGACTCTTCCACGCTTTTCACAAAACCATGCATAGTTCGCTACCAAAAATACTCAGTTTAGTTAGGTGACATCTTAGTCTACAATGTATATATATATATAGATAGCATAAAGAGCGTGTAGCACTCACCTTTGCCATCCAATGCCAGAACTTCGGATGTGCTCAACAAATTACCAGCACGATCTGTTGTCGACATTGTGCTCCGTGTACCCGTTGCTGTTGTGGACATAATCGATGCAGAGCCAATAAACTGCAGCGATGAGGATGAGGCGGCCGGCACCAAAGCTGGCCCAGATCCGGTGCTGGTTTTGCCAACGCATGTGACTTGACTGGGTGCATCCTTGATGTTCAGTTTGGTGCTGTTGGCGTTCAAATTGCTGCTGCTGTTGTTGCCATTGTTGTTGTTATTGTTGTTGTTGTTGTTGCTGTTATTGTTGTTGTTGTTGTTGTTATTGTTGCTGAGAGCATTGTTGCTGGCATCGCCAGGCGCAAGCTCGAAGCGTTTCTTCTTGGCATCACTGTGTGGAAAGGGTTAATATTATTATTATTATTATTATTCTTGTTATTATTATCAGTTATCTGTTGGTTTATCGGTAGGTTTGATATCGTTCATCGATAACACTATTTATGTATATAACGGAGTTTTTTACAATTGTTTTTTCATTGATCAAATTGTCGAAAGTTGACTATGGATTTTGTGAGCTTTCTTTAGATGTTATCGATAATCGATATCTATACCAAGCAGGGATTATTCTTCGATTTTTCGATAACTCTCTTACCTGACATCCGTGTGCAGCTCGTTGCCAGCACCAAGTCCCTCCACCTGTGCCGCCTTCAACTTTTGGCCCAGATAGTTGCCAGCTGTTGTGGCCGTTGTCAGCGTTGCCACACTGCTAACTGGCTCCGCTTGACTGGCCGCATTGGGCACAGCAAAACCAGCCGCAGCACCACCAACTGTTGTCGGCGTCGTCTTGACGATTTTATCGCCAGTTGCATTTGTCGACGTTGCTGCGGCTACTGCTGCTGCTGCTGCTGCTGCTGTTGTCGTTGCGGCATCATCCGCTGACGCCTTAACATTGGCCATTACGACGCTCTGATAGCCGGGCTTAAACCCGTTGATCGCCACACTAACCGCGGGCACTGCTGTTGTGGTCGTGGCACCTGCCGACGCTGATGTTGCTGCCGTTGCTGCTGAGGCACCAGTGGCTAAAGATTCAAAAACATTCCAATATTATTATTATTATTTTGATTATGATTATTATTGTCATTGGTATTTGTCAACAAACATATTTATCAGTAATCAGCATAGATCCTTACACTCTATTAAGAGTATCAATAATCAATAATTAATCATTCCTGGCTAGAACATTTTGAGTCTCGATTGTTAATTGATCTTATTGGATCTGTGCATTTCTGATCTGGTTACGAATTGTATTCATTATCTTTTTGTATTGAAGTTTCAAGAGATAAATGTAAATGTTGCCTATTTGAAGCCTAATTTAGTATTCACAGTTTCGATTACGTTTTCCACCATAATTATTGGCAACTAGTTGCTGGTTATAAGCTTACCGTTATAGCTATCGGCATTGGAGGCCTTTGCTTTGCTCTGCTTGCCCAGCTGATCCGTTTCCGTTTCCGCTGGTGGCTCCGCCTTCGCTGCCTTTGCTTTGTCCGGAACTAGGCTCCCATCGGGCTGTTGCAGTTGCGACTTGGGCGCCTTGGGCGTTGTCGCTGCAGCTGCCTCACTGATTGCCGTTGCTACTGCTGCTGCTGCTGCTGTTGTTGCTGTTGCTGTTGCTGTCGTCGTTGTTGTCGCTGCTGCTGCTGTTGTGGTTGCTGTTGTTGCCGCTGTTGTTGCCACTGTTGTACATGTTGCTGTTGTTGCTGCTGCTCCTGCTGTGACTGAAGTTGCTGCTGCTGCTGCTGCTGCTGCTGTTGTTGTCGTTGTTGTTGTTGTTGCTGTTGTTGTTGTTGTTGCTGCTGCTGCTGCTGCTGTTGCACCACCTGCTTTTGATTTTGCTGCCGCTTTGCCAGCTGCTCTTGCAGTTGTTGTTGCTGTTGCTGTTGCTGCTACGGCTGCTGCTGCTGCTGCTGCATCCTCCTCAGCGGTTTTCGCTTTGGCATCGCTGCTGCCCGTTGAGATCTCTGTCGCCGCTGCTGCCGCCGCCGCTGCTGCTGCTGCGGCTGTTGCATTCTTATCCGCCTTGTCGCTAGCTGCTGCTGCCGCTGCCGCTGCAGCTGCTGCCACAGCTGCCGCTGCTGCTGCCACACTTTTGGCCACCTTCTCGCTGCCGGCAGCCGCTTCGGCCGCTTTGCTAACGGCACTCGCCTTCTCGGCGGCACACTCGGCCGCCTTGGCCGCGTCCGCTGCTGCCCGCTCGGCGACACGCTCCCGTTCCGCAACACGTTCGGCCCGCTCGCGCTCGGCAACGGCACTGCACCGATTGCCGGACTTCTGTTGCTGTTCGCGTTGCAGTCGCGTCGTCACGCCCGTCGTCAGCGAATCGATGATGCATTGGGGCTGCTGCTGTTGGGCCTTGGCCGGATGGCGACTGCTGCGTGTTCGCTGGCGGGATTTGCGTAACAGCTGCTTGTAGTTCTCCGTCTTTTTGCTGAGGTAGTAGTAGCGGACGCAATCCTGCGGCGATTTGCGATCCAAACTGGCGGCGATAGCACCAAAGTTTTTCGGATGCTGCAGATACTTCTCCTTGAAGGTCTCCTTCTCGCCGGCTGTCCACAAATTGATGGCTTTGCGCTGTTCGTGCAGCGCGACCATATCCCAAATGCGACCATTCTCATTGTGATAGGCGCAACGGCGTTGCCGGGCATCGTGCATCAGCGGCGGGATGACGGCATATGAACGCATCTTTTTATCCTCGAGCGCCTGCTCCTGCAGCCCATCCATAATCTCCTCGAGATCCGCTTCGGACTTGATGCGCGAACCGACACGATTGAAACGCTCCTTGTCCTCGCGCTGTTTCCGCAGTTCGGTGAACACCTTCTCGAAGAACTCACGATTTTTGGCCTCGCGCGCCTTCCGCTTGGCACTGGCCTCGGCCCGTTCGCAGCGTCGCTGCCAATCGGCCTGATCCTTGGTATACTTATCGACAAGACCCTGATTGTGCTCCCAGCGTTCCGCTTTCAGTTTGCGTATGTGCTGCAACAGCGGATTGCGCACCAGTGTCTGGTGTCGCTTAATCAGATGCGTCAGCGCCTCCACATCCAACGGTTGATTGTACAACGGCAGCCAGGGACGTGATTTTCCCAGCTCATCACCACTGCCACTGCCACTGCCACTGCCACTGTCATTGCTGTTGGCAACGCCAACCGCCGCACTAACCAGGGAATGTTGCTCGGCTGCCGTTTTACGGTTCGCCTTATAGATGCTCTGCGCCAGCATTCGGGTGCGCCACGCCAGCTCCATAATCTCAGTGCCATCAGTTGCCGTCGCTGGCGCCGACGACGACGACGACGACGCTGACGCTGACGTTGACGTTGACGTTGACGATGACGCAGCCATTGCCAGCTGCTGCTGTTGCTGTTGCTGTTGCTGCTGTTGCTGCTGCTTTTGCTGTTTAGCATTTGCCGCCGTTGCTGCTGCCTCGTCCATCAATGATTTCTCCTTTTTACGCAGCGTATCCATTGCCGTCTCGGCGCTCTTGATGTCATTGTCCACACGCTGGATTTGCATCAGCAACTCCTCCTTGGCGCTGTTGTTATTGTTGCTGTTGCCGCTGTTGCTGCTGCTGCTGCTATTGTTACTGTTGCTGCTGCTCTTGTTGTTGTTGCTGCTGCCAGTATTATTGCTGCTGCTGCTGCCACCGCCACCGCTGCTGCGTCCACGTTCGTCCGCATTATCGCTAGGCAGCGTTGGCGAAATGGCCTCCACCTGTGCAAAAGTAAATAAAAGCAATATTAGACAACATTGTTCATCATTGTGCATCGAATTCAATGCCTACCTGTGGATGGTATGCTTCGGAACTGCTTGCCATCGCTGCTGCAGCATGTGCAACGTTGCCAATACTGCTGCTGCCGCTGCTGCCACTGCTGTTGCTGCTGCTCATCGCCGCCGAGGAGACGCTCACCGAACTAAGGTGTTGCGCTGGACCACAACCAATGCTGCCAGTGGCTGTAGACATCGTTGGCGGTGCCACCAGACCACGTGGTGCATGCGCCTGTGACGTCAGTTGCTGGTGGTGTTGTTGCTGCTGCTGTTGGTGCTGCTGTTGGTGGTGCTGTTGCTGCTGCTGCTGCTGCTGGTGGTGTTGTTGCTGCTGCTGCTGGTGGTGTTGCTGATGCTGTTGCTGCTGTTGCTGTTGTTGGTGGTGTTGTTGTTGCTGCTGTTGTGGCAGCGTTTCCACTTTGAGCTGCTGCATGGCCAGCGGTGTGAGAACAGAGGCAGCTGCTGCCGCAGCGGACATATGCAACACAGCGCCATGATTGCTCTGTCGACTATTATGTTGTTGTTGTTGCTGCTGCTGCTGCTGCTGCTGAGCGGGTGAAGAGCGCTGCTGCTGCTGCTGTTGCTGGTGCTGTGGCAGGTGATTCATGTTGCTGGCATTGGCGTCACTCAATCGCTGCTTCTTATACGGCTGACCCACGCTGCCCAGCGGCTCCGACAGTGCCTGTTGATGCTGTTGTTGTTGTTGTTGCTGCTGCTGCTGCTGCTGTTGCTGCTGGTGTTGCTGCTGATGTTGCTGGCGCTGATTGACTGCAGCAACAGCTGCGGCATTGGTCAGGTATTCGTTGTTATATTGCAACGATTGATAATGCGACATTGCATCCATGACGAGAACACCGCCAGATTGGGCGCCCGGCGGCGGCATACTGCCGGGGGGCACCTGGACAGATGCCGCAGCAGCAGCAACAGCAGCAGCCACCGCAGTTGTCGGTGGACCACCACCACCAGCAACAACAGCTGCAGCAGCAGCGGCCGCACCACCGGCAGCAGCAGCAACGGCAGCCACAGATGCAGCACGCGCCGCCCGCTGAAAGTCCGGCACCGTTGCCTGCAACTGGGGTGGTATCCGCATATAATGATTCTCCCGATAATTGGCCACCGGTGCGACGCCAATGGTATATGCTGCTGGCTGTATAAAATGCTGCGGCGCATCTGCGAACTTTGCATAGTTATTCGCTGCCGCTGCAGCCGCTGCGCTGCCAGGTGCAGGACGTGGCGGCGACAACGGACTAGCTGCCGAGCGAGACGATTGCTGTTGCTGCTGCTGTTGTTGTTGCTGCTGCTGCTGTTGTTGCTGTTGTTGTTGCTGCTGCTGCTGTTGCTGTTGTTGTTGTTGCTGATGATGGTGATGGTGATGCATTTGTTGTTGTTGTTGTTGCTGTTGTTGCTGCTGCTGTTGCTGTTGCCGTTGTTGTTGCTCATGCTGCTGCTGCTGCTGCTGCTGCTGTTGCTGTTGCTGTTGCTGCTGCTGCTGCTGATGTTGCTGTTGCTGATGAGTCTGCAGATGTCCGAGGTTCTTGACATACTGCTGCTGTTCCATTGTCCTGTACGGCCAGTGGGGGCGAAAGAAAACAACCAATTATTAGATTTATGTGTAGAATATATTCAAAATAATGCAAATATATATTTATAAGTAATTAATTAATTCATTAATTAATTAAGCTTTAAGACCCAAAATTATCTATCGTTATTTCTGTCAGCTTGACCTGTAAAAGCAATATTCTATTAATCCAACTATATATATAAAACTGTTGTTCAGTTTACTCCTATTCTTTCCTATTTTATTATATATATATATATATATATACATATCCATATATACATATCCATCTATATCATTTCAATTAATGTTTTTTTCTCAGCAAACTTGAAACGCATAAGAATCTCATAACTCTCTTTAAGTATCACTCAAATTAAATTCAATAAATATATATGCATGTTAATATGCACATCCAATTTGGCTGGTTTATTGCAATTGAAGAAACTTCTTGTATTATTTTCAGGTGCATTTAATGCAAGTATCTGAAGATGGGAGATGGGATGACGGCGACAAGTGGGTAAACATGCTTGACCCAATTGCGATCGCTTAGCTTTGCCCATTGGGCTAATCTTCGCTAATATGCATATATATTCATATATATCTCTTGTGCTAAGGTGCAAGAAAATAGTTCGACAGTCTTGAATTAGTGAGACACCTTAACGTTCTTTTATTGGGGACACAAACCGAGCCGAACTCACACATGTTGCACTCACATGGTATGCGAGCCAGCAGCAAGCAATAGTCAACAATATAGAGTGAGAGCGCAAGCTTATTGCTGTGCTGCTCGTTTTCATGGTCTCTATGTGCGAGCAAGACACAAAAAAAGAGAGCAGAGGGACTGTTGGAACTTTCAACATATATGCGCATACATGTGTGCAGTCCAACAGCAACTTCGAGCATGCTCTGTTTAATACATGTTGCTGCGACATGTACGCTGGCGAACATTAAAGGCAGCGAAGCTGCTGTCGGCGTCAACATTAGCAGCGAAGCTGCTGTCGGCGTCAACATTAGCAGCGAATACTTTGTATTTATATATGTATGTATTTATGTATGTATTTATGTATGTACGTATGTGCCGCAATCCAACGGCGGTCATTATTTAAAATTGGTTGCAGCACAACCGCTCGTTTGACGTTTGAGACGTTGACGTTGCGTTTGATATGTGATTAACGTGACGCGGCGCGTTTGACCTGCGACGTCACAATCACGGCCAGACTTTTCGGTTGCTCAAGGGGTTGGTTGGTGGGCGATTGGTTGGTTGGTTGTGTGCGTGGGTGGGTGGTTGGTATGTACATACATATGTATGTGAAACAAACACACTCGCGCACACAACATAGTTCGCTTATTAATTCATTAGATATTAATGGCACTGCGAAGCAATGAGAGGGAGAGAGAGAGAGCGAGAGAGTCGCAGTGGAATGCAAAACGTTTGCGACGTTGCCAAACTTCTCCGCTTGCTATTTTTAAAGAACGAAGCATGCGAAAGAGCTCTTTAAACCTTAAAACAGCACACGCCACCTTCTCTTGCAAAGCAAACCAAACCAAGACCGACCGACCACCGCTCGCCCGCGCCCTCTCTAGCTCTCCCTCCCTCTCTCCCTCCCTTTGTCGCACTGTCTCACTCTGTGTCTCCGCTTTACGGTGTCTGGGCCCATTCAGCTTTAAAATCAGACAACAACGTCGCTGCCTGGCCTGGCCTGCCTGCCTGCCACTTCTCATCAATCATATCGACCTACAGCAATACTCACACACACACAGCAAGTATATATTTATATATAAATATATATGTATCTGTGTGTGTATAGATAGAAAACTGAAACCCCTGTTGTCAAATCTTCCCCTTGTTGCCTTCAACACATTTGGCAATTTGCGAGTTCCTTTGAAATGTGTATCGTGTGTATCGAGTTTCCTCTTCTTCTTCTCATTCTCCTTCTGCTTCTTCTTTTTGTTGTCCAGGTTCTTTTTAAAATGTCTTACCTGCAAAGATAAATAATAGGGGGAAAAGTTGAAACATTAATTATGGCGATTATGATTGGCTGTGCTGTGCTGTGTTCAATATACAAATTGCAAAGCTGAGGCAATTTTTAATTCATTTATTATTAAATTTAATTTGCTTCATTTGTTTGCTGTAAATAACATGTACATTTGTAGCCTTTATTTATTTTTTCTGTTAATTTCCCATTATTTGTATTTAACCGCAATTCATCATAATTGCTTTTCCGATTTTATTTTGTATTTCCCTTTAATTATTCCATTTTTTTTATTCGATTCTGTATATTTTATTACAGTTGCTGATTACCGCATGGAAATATACATTGTATATTTTGTATATTTTCCATTCAATTAAAATTCCCACTGTATCCAACTTCCATTATTTTAATCTCAAATTAAAGTATTTTTCTGCATCTTTTTCACAAACAAAAAAAAATCATAAAATTTCAAATATAGTAAAGATATGTACAGATATATACATACATGGTATATGGCGAAAAATTTAACTTTCACAATAAAATGGAATTATTTACAAAATTAGAATGACTTCTGTATATGCCCCTCGGCTTTCAATAATCACATGAAAAGCAGTAAATTTTGTCATATAAAATACATGTACATAGAAGAAAAATAACACTTTTAACGGTAATTTTGCTTTCTATTTGATTTTATTCTAAAAACCAAAGCAACTTTAACGTGACCAAAAGTACGACATAATATCAAAAGAGGAAACAACCAAATATTAAGCGCTCTCTCTCTCTCTCTCTCTCTTATACGCACACTCTCTTTAGCTGCAGCTTTAAAAGTGCGCCAAGTACAACAACAAATAATTAAAACTTGCAGCTTGAATAGCATTTGTTGTTGTTGTTGTTATTGCAGACATTACTCTTCGTCTCCTTCTTCTGCATCGTCTCTTCTTCGTGTTATTGTTGTTTTTTTTTTTGTATGTGGCTTTTTGTTGATGAAAAGTTGAAACCAGGCAGCGCAGCCAGCATCGCTGGCTGCGACAAGCCACATGTGCCGTTATGTGCATCTGCATGTGTGTGTATATGTCGCCTTAATGTGTGTGTGTGTGTGTAACTTTAGCCTGCCAGCATCCTTGGGCAACAACGTAACGCGCTCCCGCCCCCCGCGCCCCTTCTCCAATTCATCCTCACTCCCTTTGCGCTCATTCAGCAGCCACGCCTTGTGCGCCACATTGCATGTGCCATACTTATGTATGTATGTATTTTTATATATGTGTATATGTTGTGTACGTGTTTACATATACATACACATATACATATATATTTATATATATATATGCATCCGTATGCATACGTATGTGTGTGGCATATATAAAATAGAAGACGTCACGCAAGAAAAACTAACAGCGAACAAACCCAAAAGGCAGCCAAAGGGCAGGCACACACACACACAACACACACACACAAACACACACACACAACACACACACAGAGCGTGCGAAACTGTAGAGAAGCAAATGCAAAAAAAAAGATAGCAGGAGTTTTAGTTACAGTGTTCGCTCGCACATTTCGCACAACAAAAATATAAGCGATTTTTAATTAATCAGAATTCATTGTTTTTACTGCACTTTCGAACATTGTCTAATATATATATTAATATCATCGATATTGTAAGTAACGAAAAAAAAAACACAGAAAATATGCAGAAATGTTTATTCCCTTTTGTTTTTAAATTTGAATAATGCAAGTTTTATATTCTTTTAAAGATGCAGATACAGATTCACAGACAGATTTTGGAGTTTGTAAGCTCTTTATAATCGTTCTTTCAGCATTTACACTATTTATTATAAGTAATATTATAAATAATCAATAAAAAAAGTGAATTATTTCTGTTCTAGCATCATTAATCAATTACGTACATAACAATTTCTAAAGTTTTTCTTTCCACTTGAGTAATAATAATGTATATATTTTCAATCTTTAATTTTGCATAGCCCATTTTACAAATGACAATGATTGCAATCTCTAATTAGCGGGCGACCACTGTAGCAACAACTGTAGCAGTAGAAGCAGCAGTAGAAGAACAAGAAGAAGAAGAAGATGGAACAGCAGTTAAGCTAGTTGTCATGGTCCCTGTGTATGTCCTGTCCTGGAGGCAAATGCCGCCATAACGCTGTGAAAGAGGAGCCGGCAGTCGCACGATGGTTGCTGGTGTGGTGTGTGTTGTGGTTGTGTGGGTGTGTTGGCAATAGCCGTATACTAGTAGTAGAACACAACATGCCCCACTCCCCCACACACAGACACACAACCATTCCCACGGAGCACGACGACCAACCCACTTGAAACCCAAGCGGCGTCTGCTCTTTGGCAAGTGCAAAAATTTATCGATTTTTCTCGTGTGTTTTTGCAGAGTTTTCATCGTGACAGAACAAGAGAGAGAGAGAGAGAGAGAGAGAGAGATAAAGAGAGATAGAGATACAGAGAGAGGACGAGAGAGAGAGAGAGAGAGGTGGGTAGATTGTAGTAAATGGAGAAGTACCATGTGTTGGGGTTGGGGTGGGTTAAGGAGCGCTGCCTTGTTAAAATAGCCCAGTCCATTGCGGGTGGGTGGAGAGGAGACAGAAGGCAGGAGGCAGGAGGCAGGAGGCAGGAGGCAGGAGTTGGTAGTAGGTAGGTGCATTTTGTATGCTGCCAGCCAGGCCAGATTATTATTCTAAAGCACGCTCCCATAACCCCAACTTCCCCGTTTCCGAGAGATGCCTACGGCTGCGTTTTAAGCGCACAACTTTCAACGGGAGTAGAGAAGAAACAGGAACAGCATCAGCGGGTTGGGCAGCGGGAGGTGAGTCCGAATGGGGGAAAAGGTTGTAAAAAACGGCGACGAGAAACAACTTTAAAAACAAACTTTTCCTCTGTACTCGACTCGACGACTCGGTGTCCTTCGCACTGTGCCTGTGCCTGTGCCTGTGCCCTGTCTGTGTGTGTGCCATTAAATTTTCCTGGGCTGGAAATTTAATTTGCGGTTGCGACGGCCAACTGCTTAACAGTTTTAGACAGACAGAGATAGCTAGCCATTGAATGAGAGTGCGATGGCTCAGAAGAGCGCATAAGAGAGATAGCTAGATACATAAATATGCGAATTTAAAAGCCAGCAACAAAAAAAAGAGCCAGAGAGACAATGTGAGAGAGAGAGAGAGAGAGAGAGAGAGAGCGCATGTTTGGGTCAGCTGATCCAGCAGCAGCCTGGCCTGGCCTGGGCGCAGGCAAGTGTAAAATTGGCCACAAACTGCTGAAGTTGAATTTTGTTTTGGCAAAAACACTTTAAGAACACTTTTTGCTTTCATTTTGAGAGCAAATCGTTTGGCAGAGTTTAGCAAAACTTGGCCTAATCACAATCAAATTAATCGGTAAACGAAAGTTTTATTCGAATTGATAAGAATTTCCAGTGAGTCACAGCACACAATTCGAGTCATGAAGTTATTTTTAATTAAATTCAACAAACACACAATAATATTGACAATTAATTATAATTAATAACTTACAACGAACGAAAGCATCTCTATTTATTATATTGTCTCACCTTATCAACACAAATACTGAAAAACTGCCCAGGTTCTAGTCACAGCTACCTTTAATTTGAATAAAAATAATCAATAATTTGAATAATTTCAACGCTTTTATAAATTATACGAACATTTCAATCGTAAATTTATATCTGGAATAAACAACATTAACCTAACCCCCCCCCTTCCAACCACCCTTATCACGCATCTGATATGAGAAACCCTTTCAATTTCGCCTTAATACATTACAATTGGGCAACTATGATGGGGCATTCATAAGTTATCTAATTTCAGTCCAAAGCCATTGGAATTGCGCGCAATAACTGACGACTGACTAACTGATTGATTGATTGACTGACTGACTGACTGGAGGCCCATTCATGTGGATGAAATGTTAGCTGGCAATTTGGCAACTTAACAGGTTTCACTTGTCGTATGTTCACTGTACTGTCGACATAAGCCACAGACAAAGACAAAGCAGGGATGAATGGGTAATGGGGGAAGGTGAAGGGGAAAGGGGGTGTGGGGTGGGGTTGGGGGTTACAATAAGATATACAGCGCAAGGCAAACGTGAATCTCAACAATTCTATTGAGGTATTAGCTTTTGTTTTCGCGTACAAAAGAAAATAGAATAGTATTATTATCTTCAGACTGCAATCCAACAGCGGATTATGCAGTTCTCTCTCTCTCTCTCTCTCTCTCTCTCGCTCGCTCTCTCACTCTCTCTTTTGTTCTGGCAATTAATTAGTGTAATTTTAGTTGGGCTTCGAAAAATATTCGCTTTCTATCTCTCTCTCTCTCTCTCTCTCTCTCTCTTTTTCTTTCTCTCGCACTCTCTATTAATTAACGCCGCTAGGCGAGAGGGGAGGCTTGGGGGTGGACAGGTTGGCAGTCGGCAAGCTTTAAATAGTCATAATGCATTCTTTTGCATTTTGTTTGTTTTCTGCTTTCTGCTTTCTGTTTTCTGTTTTGTTTTATGGCTTTCATTTTGTTTATCGCTTTGTTTTGCTAAGTTTCGCTGGTGCTGCTAAAATAACTTAAATATCAGCAGCAACAGCAGCAGCAGCAGCAGAATCAGCTTTTTGGGGTCTTCTCTTCTTTCTTTGCTCCTTCTTTGTATATTAAACTGTACAAGGGATAAATCAATACAACAATGCAATAGCATTAGAATATAGATTCGTCCAATGCACAAATAAATCCCTCAAACTACAATAGACAATATTCTACAGAAGCTATCAGCAGCCAACCAACACTTGTCAAGCTCGATCACAGCTCGTATTTAATGGAAATGAAAAAATTGTTAAAGTTGAGGAGTCTTATGTAATGTTCTCCCATTCGGAATTCTCACTCCCCCAACACAACTCTGCAATCATTCACATTTCACATGGACGAACAAGTTTTTCTGTATTTCTAATTTTGACAAATCACGCTTGATTTTTTTATTTTTTTTTTTTGTTTATCTGTCGACTATTTTCAAGTGGCTTTAATTAAAACAATATTTAAATGGCATGTGAATTGCATGAATCATAGCAAATAGCAGCTATTAAAGTGAACCCACTTGACAGTTTCAGATCCAAACGTCGTTTACGGACACGAAGCGCAAACAAACACGAATTCCGGAAAATAGTCAAGTAGTCATTACCCATTATAAGGCGTACAATAAACGTTCAATAAAATGCGTCATTCGGCATGTTAATATTTGTAAGCGATTTTCAATTGAAAGTTATATAAATACGATTCTTATCGATATTATTTTCATCTTTATATTAACAAACTTTCCCAATAATATCAGTATCAGAAGTGTCTATCAGCAAAAGACTCTTTACTATATATCGAATTTCAATATATATATATATATATATGAAAATCAACAGAGATTGTATTGACTTTGTATCAATTTAAATTCCCTCTGCGAAATTCGATCCTTAAACCATTTTTGTTCCAGAATAGTTAGCTATTTTAAATACATATCAAATAAAAAAGGAAATAAAATTGGTAAAATTGGCACTGCTATTAAAATGAATATAACATATAGAAATGGCACAAATATAACAAATTAATCATTTGTGTAGCCTACAGATTTGTTTAGAGCTACAAAAATTGGATTTGACATCAATTCAACAACTTTTTGGAAGTCAGGCTTTTCGTAGCTGATCCACTGTCTCAAACTACCGATTACCTGCACAGGGGAAACATCTTTCAGACTTCCTTAAATAACTCCAGGATATGTGTTCTTTTGCAAAATTTACTGTGGCATTTGGAGCACTTTCGTTAAAGTCGTCTTTGACTTCATTTTCTTGCCAACTAATCTATCACTACTTGATCAAATTGGTCGAACACGATGTCTGGATACTTGCCATCTTAAACCAGCCCAGCCCAGCCCAGCCCAGCCCAGCTCAGTCCAGTACAGTCCAGTCCAGTCCGTAAGATTGCAGATTTGTGACTGAGTGATAATTTTTCGCTGTTGGTTTTTTTTAGCATTGTGTTCGTTTTAGTTTTTTTCTTTCTTAATTTTAACACATTATCAATTGGTGATGCCGATCGATTTAAATGAATTGATATTTGCCTGTTGTTCAATCCAGTATATCCTTGTAAACAAGGATCTTAGCTATCTTCTCAGGCTAGAGTGTTTTTCCCTTTGCCTTTGCCATTTCAAACTTTTGTGTTTACAACTAATCTGTTTCTATCTATAAAATATTAAATAAATATGTATAAATTAATTTTATTATCCCATTCAAAGAAAACCCATAAAAAGCTCTACTTACTTTTCCAAGGAAAAAATCTATCGAAAATCCGAACATGCATTCCAATGCACCATAGCAGTGTAAGGAGAAGAGGAAGCGCCGTTATAAAATGCGTAAACAATGTCCCGTTAGGCTCGGTACTTTTGTCTAGCGACATAAAAACAAGTGCGAATCGAATCGAATCGAATTTCGCTGAGTGTATTTGTAAGTGTTTGTTTTGTTTGTTATTTTGCGCTACAGTTGTATTTACAGCTGTTTCCAACGCCTGTCAGCAAATTTGCAAGTGCATTGTCTTTGCTGCTGCTGCTGCTGCTGTTGTTGTTGTTGTTGTGAGCTTCGTGTTTTTTTTTTATTCGCAGAATAAGCTTTCTCAAATGTAAGAAATGTGCGCAGCAAGAAAAACAAAAACAAATGCAAACAGCAAATGAATAAATTCAACAAAAACAAAAAGAACAGCAAACAAAAAGAAAAATAAAGATAAGAAAAAATTATAGAAAATGAAGCAGAAGAAGAATATGACTCCAATTACGGCAGCATCGGCGTAATACAAACCACAACCGAAAAGGGGGGAAACAAATAGCAGCAGAGATACACGTGGTGTTTAAATAGAAGTGTGACAGAGACAGAGACAGGGACAGAGACAGACACTGACAGAGAAAGGGGCGGCATATGTTGAACTTGGTCATCAAACTGATAAATTGTGCTCATATTATATATAGTATAATATATACATGTATGTATATGCACATACATATGTATATATTTATATATGTATGTAGAACAGGTCACAAAACTCTCCACGAATCTGCATGCAAATTTTCACATAACACTGCCAAGTGTTTTTAGGGAGTACTGTGGGGGGAGGGTTAGGAGTGCTAACTGTTGTACATTGAACTTTAGTAGGTAGCACACATTTTGAGGGGGGGGTATGGAAATCAGCTAGCTGATGATAATGGACTCTGTTCCCTGCGCCCTGCGCCCTGCTGTTCCCCCTCTTCTCAGCTGACTGGCTGGCTGGTCTAGTCTCTGATTTTGTGCTGCTATTTTTGGTCAGCGATTTAACTGCCATGAAAGTTTCATAAACACAATCGAAACGCAGCCCATAAAAAACAAGTGCGCAGCTGTTGTGAAGGAAGTCTTGCTGACCGGGAGGGGGTGGGTGGGAGGTGAGAGGCCGTATCTAATCTGGGACGCAAAAGCATGTTTCACGCGTTCGCTTTTCGTTCGCTCCTCTGCCCACCAGCGGCCCCCTTCCCTTTTCCCATAACGCTGTCCGCTCTTTGTTTGAATACAATTTTCATGAGCCGTGAACGTAAAAATACAAAATACGAAAATATTCAAAACGAAAATAAAAAAGTATTTTATTATTTCACTTCTATCGGCACTCTTGAGATATGGCCAATCTAATCAATAGATGGAAAACTACACAAAAAAAAAAGAAGGAATTTAACAAAAACAACAACAAAAACCAAAACAAGATACGAAAAAATGCAGTTGTTGGTGCAAAACTATATTTGAGATACTCTATTCTACTCAATATTGAGATACTCTGTAATTTTTTTAAAATTATTTATTTATTTAAAAACATTTACATAATTGTGTTACTTTCACTGGGATACTTTCTACGACTTTTACTATTACAAATCCCAGTTAAGGTCAAGGTGATTTAAAATATATTTGATAAGAATGTCCTTTTTATTTTATAATGTTTAGCAGAGTGCAGATTACAAATGATGGCAGTTAGGGAAATATTCGTGAGTGTGCCACAAGATTCCACTTATTCAGACTTATTCATTGCAGTTATTCATTGAATTACTCATAATTGTAATCACTTTTTGGAATTATAGATAAGATTGTTGATATGCGTATAAGACACAATTTCATAAAAATAAACAATTATATAAGAACCAGTTCAAGTATAAAGTATAAAATAAAGGAATGGAAAGGAGAGAAAGAAAACGAGTTCCAGACTTAAAATGATCTACGATAAATTATTATTGTTGTTAGTATTTGGCTTTCACGGATTGTTGGATCTATTGCGACCCGATAGATTGTCATATTAGTGTAGAACATGAATAAAACATGCATTTTCATTCACTAAGCTCGAATATGAATATGAATATGAATTTGAATATTAACTGTGCCGACAAAGTATCGGACAAGGCATACTTAAGTACTTTGTCCTACACGTACGACTGAAAAGCGGGAAGTTTGGAACGTGACACTGAACATATAGAAAACATTGAATAATAGCCGGGAATTCGAATCTATATCTCATATTCGGAATGGCAAGCAAACAATTACAAACGACGCAGGCATTTCATGTGGGTAAGGGGAACGGGGAAAGGGGACTAGAATTAAGGTTAAGACGACGACGACGACGACGACAACGCTGATTAGAATCCATTCGAATAATCACAATAATAATATTACTAATAATAAGAATAATAATAGCACCGTTATGATTGATTCATAGATGCGTCTACTGATAGCTTATCAGAACAAAAAGAAAAAAAGCAAAAATGACAAACGCAACAACAACAAAGAACAAATCTTTATGGCTGCGACGATTGTAAGGATTATGACTATTTTTGGAGTATTTCGAGTGCCTATCAGCAGAGCTTGTCTACCGCGTAAGTGTGTACACACATAATATAAATAATATAAAAATATATGTATTATGATACAGCTGATATAGAGCTGTGCTGTGCTGTGACAACAAAACGACTCTTGAGATAATAATGGCAAGAACTTGGCAACAACACTGATTAATACTTTCAAAAGTTTTTGACTTTAAAAGCAAGAATCGACCCAACACTACCGACTACGATCTTACGAAAAACTATATTATATATATATTCTTGCAAAGGAACAATCGATTTAGAATCTTGACTAATTCAACAGCGGCTTGCTCAAAAGACAGCCGTTCTTTCTCTTCTTCTAACAATAGATTATTCATAATCACATATGTTATGATATCGATTGACAATATCTACAAGCAGTGTGTTGAGGTTGCCACCTTTTGCTAAACCTATAAAAAAAAAACCGACTTTTATAGATCTGCTCCATGAACTAAATTGCAGTCATATATCATATGGGCAACAACGACGACAAGAACGATTGATGACAAACTCTGTTAATTACGACAATTTGTGGGCTGGTCGGTCATACCCCAAAATCCCACACTAACACACGCACACGCACACACACACACACACCCATACAATCGCTTTTCTATTTATAGGCCTCGGCTGTGCCCCGTTTTGTTGATAAAATGAAAAGACAAAAAAAAAACATATATATATATATATAAAGTTAATGGAAGTGAAACTTATCGAGGACTGTAATTGATGTGGGCTCATCAAAAATGTGAAAATGTTGGGAACTTGAACAAATGTGCCACACACAGCAGTTAATAGATATCGCAATTTGTGGTTACTTAGTTGTTGCTGTTGTTGTTGTTGTCGAAAGCTGCCATGACAAACTGTAAACTAGAAAGAATATAAGTGCGCAATGGCAGTGAGTGGGGTGGTGCCTAGGGGGGTTGGTGAGTGGTCTTTCCGTTTGTAGGGTTATATTTTGTATACATATATATATAAATACACGTTAGACACAATGCATGACTCAGTGGCACACGCAAACCACACAAATAGAGCAAAAACTATATATATATATATATATACATAATGAGAACAACAATTTGAACAATAAGTAGTCGTGCTTTGTAGAAAAGAAAGAGAAAAAACGAAAATCACAATTCGATAGCTAAATCATTATTATCTGAAGGCAGTTATCAACAATTGAAATTGTTTGGAAAGCTATAGCTATATATAAGCTATACATTTGAAATAAGTTGAATTCGATTGCAAATGCCACATAACAAATAAGCTTAAAATAAACTTGATTTGCATTTGCATCGGCCTTCGTATGAGATCTGAGATCTGAAATTGGCTATTATTGATGATTATGAATATAGCGATAGAATTATATCAAGTTTTCTGCAACTCTATTGTGCCCAGTTATATATATATATATATATATATATATATATATATATATATATATATATGTGTTTTTTATGGATAAATGGACATACAAAGTAATCTAAGAGTTGCTTGAGTAGTAGCTGTAGCTGTATCTTTTGCTGCTGTAGTTGTTGCTGTTGTTGTTTTTGTTGCTTCTGTTGATGTATCCGTCTGTCTAACTATTTCAAGTCTCTTGACAGTTTTGTCAGCTTTTGTTAGGCATCAATGCAACTGCTGCTGGCGTCGCTGTCGCTGTCGCTGTCTCAGTCAGCCTCTGTTGATCTCTTGGTCTGTCTCTGTCGCTCGGTCGTTGCAGTGCAAACTGCAGTTGAAGGTGATTTAATAATGAAACGTTGACGAACAGTGCTCGTCTTTCCCCTCTTCACATCTCTCTCTCTCTCTCTCTCTCCCCCCCCTCACACACACAAACACACATAATCTCCGTGTCTCTATATTCACCTCCGCTTATCTTCGCTCTCTCTCTCTCTCTCTGCCTCTGCTCATGTCCCACGTCATTTTTGCATTTTTCTATTATGCGCTGCACTTTTTCTGTTATTTGTTATTGCTATTGTGGTTGTTGTTGTTGTTGTTATTGCCGTTGTGTATATAAATAGACATTGCCGTCGCTGTCGCCGTTAATTGCTTTGGCAGTCGCGTTCCTTTTTTTTTTTTGATTTTGTTTTTTTTTTTCATATTTTGCTTTAGTTGTTTTGTTGAAATATTTTTATTTTCTTTTGTTGTCTTGTTGGCTTCTGCTGTTTTCGTTTTCTTTAATTATAATTCATTACGTATGTGCACTTTATTTATTGACTGTGCGTGTGTGTGTATATGTGTGTGTGGCGCCCCCTAGCGGTGTCGACGACGCTGGCTTTTGTTATTGTCAGAGATTGCACTTGCCCATGAGCTTTAACATAGGGGTAGGTCGGGGGCAGCGTGAAGAGAGATGTCAATCAGCAAAATCGATGATAGGTGCGCATCTTACTCATAGTAAATTTGGTGTGGCTATATAGCTTTCAATATACACATAGATATATATTTAAATATATTACCTATGCAACTATGCATCATGCACTATATACTGTTATTTTAAATATAATCCAAACGTTTGCGAATGCCGCACAGAGTAGAACGGGACAAGGGAATTATTCGACATTAATTTTGTGTGTAGACTTAATTCTTAATGGCTCACATTGGATTAGGTTAGTTTATTTTAGGCTGGCAATTTGATTGATTTAAACACTGTTAGACTTTGATGCTATTTCACTGTCTCGTTTCAATTGAATATGTCTTTATTTAACC